AAAAGAGAGTAGAAATAAAAATGAGAAGAGAGAATAAATAATATATTCTTTATCAATGATTGAAATGATAACTTTAAAAATAGGAATAATTCATTTTCACTCTATTTCTTATGATCTATAAAGATGATATTAGCTTATTTAACTCATTAAAGAATAATAATGAATAAAGATACAATTAATATGTAAAATACAAGAAATAAAAACTATAAAGATGTATAAATAAAAACAATATAAACTCAATATTATCACAAATAATTCCTTATTATCCAACATATCAAATAACCAAATTAATTATATAAAAATAAGTTATTAATATTATAAATTGTTAATTATTTGTATTAGTTATCTACAAACACAATTACAATTGATTAATTCATTAAAATACTTTAACAATTTAAATTAATCGAAGTATTAAATTTTTATAATCTCTTGAATTAAAATAGCAATAAATTTCATCATTTATTGAAAATAATAAATTACTGTATATCATAATAATATAAATTTATTGAATTAACTTAATTATGAAATATAATATGATATTAAATTATTTAATATTGTACTATATCTTATTTAATTATAGTTATTTCTAAAATATATTAAGAATGATTACATTTATCTCATTTTTCATCTCGTCTATTTCTTTCTTATGAATAAAGAATAGTATAATTTATTAATACTCACTCATTTCTATATATTATTAGATTTTTATTTTGTTTATTTCTTTAATTACTTCTTTTGTATTATACAAGATTTTTATTTAACTTCATCTTGTTTTTGTTTCATTCTTCTTTTTCATATTTTAAATTATTGTAATTTATTTGAAGTATTTTCAGTCCACTTAGTATGTTTTCTTTTTCACACACTTAGTACCATTCTTCTTGATTGTTCTAATTCATTTATATTCTTTTTTTAATTGTATCTTCTTAGTTATCTATCTCTTTTCTTCTTTTATAACATTAACCATAATATCACTTTAATACTATCATGTGGTATTCATAGAATAGTCTTTTCATTGTGTTGTTCATTGTTTTAAAGTCTGTCTTCTCAAAATATGATGACATCAATATTTTTATTATCATAAAATTAACTTTTTATTTCAAATAGTTTTTACAAAAACAAATAAAACTATAAAGAAGAAACTAGAAAAAAAGAGATAATGGACGAGAGTGTTGATGACTTCGATACATTTATGAATCAAATGGAAGAAGAAAGTGCACAACAAGTCAATGAAGCCATGAGTAGGTTGAAAGAATTGAAAGGAAATGAAATCAAAGAAATAGAAAATGAAGAAAGAGAAAAAAATGAAGGAAAAAAAGAAGAAACTCGAGATAGTGAGGATTTAACAGATTACAAAGATGAATTAGCACAAATTAAGAAAAAGAAATTAGAATTACTTGATGTAGACCATAAGAATATTCAATATGAACCCATTCATAAAGCATTATATGTAGAAGTACCAGACATTAAAAAATTAACAAAAGAAGAAGTTAAAGAAATTAGAAGAACAGAATTAGAAGGATGTATTGTTAAAGGTAAAAATTGTCCTAAACCAATTAAAACATGGTCAGAATGTGGAATAATCCAATTACGTTTGTTTTAGAATAATTTTTTATATGATCAATGAATATAAATAGATGGATGTTATTAAGCATAAATATGAAAACCAGTCAGTCACGACAG